TGCAGGACTTGCTGGTGATTCAGCAGGGAAAAAAAAGTGCTTTGAAGGCAACACAACACATAGAGGAACCCAAAGTGCTCGGTCTGCCAAAAGATGTTATAAACAAATGCTGGAGAGAGAACATAATTCGGGGACCACTGGAGTTAATGAAAGGTTCAAATGAGTTCACGTACAAGAACACAATGGTGTTCTGCACATGCAAGATGGAATTATTCGGGGGGTGATTCTTTAGGAGCAGAAAGGAGTATAAACAGATTTCTTAAAACTCTGCAGACCTCATGTCAAGACATCTTGGAATAGACATAACCTTTTGCGGACATCACAAACACAATTTTCACAAACCCAGGAAGCGGAAGAGAGGAGGGGTGGAAAATCCCCAAGAGAAGGAACTGATAAGTCTAAGTGATGTCAGCACTAGAACCCAGGCCTCACACCTCTGCAGTCCAAATCCCAGGACAGAATCAGGTGCTGCTGTGGCGTCCAGGCTTCTCATAAATGCTTCTTCAGCTGCATCTCCCAGTGTCTGTTCTAGGTTCAGCTACCCCCGTTTACAGCACACCATCTTTCTTCATTTCACCCAGAGGAGAGCAGGACCAGTGGGAAGGGGCCCTGATGAGGCCTGCCTTCCTGCCTCTAGGCCGAGCCCACGTGAGGTGGGAGAAAGATTAGCACAACTGAAGCCACTCCCGTGGCCAGAGGAGTATTTAGAAAACCAGCTGTCTCGTCAGAGAGGTAGTAAGAATCCAAAAGGCATTTCTATGTTGGCATGATGGATTGGCAAAAATGCTCTCAGGGGGCTGGGCACTGCCTTGGTTTCTCACACATTACACTATTTTTACGGGAGCTGGGGAATCAAGCTAATTCCATGATTGTGGTGATGCTCTAAAATTACTGGATAATAGCTAAGTGCACCACTGAAAAAGGGTTCAGGTTCCGGCTCACGTCTATGGAACTCTGGGTCTCAAATGTTATTTTAGCTCAGGAATGTTGAGGGGCTCAACCCCCTGCACAGTCCAAGCAGCCACTTTTCTCTTAAAATGACACTTAGAGAATGCTCCGGCCAGCTCGGGCCTCCCATGTCTGTATCATGTGTGCGAGGCACAGAAACACACCCTCTTTGCAGGAATGGAGCAGGGATTTCAAGACTGAAGTCAGGGTATGGACACATATAATCCTGAGTGTTCACATACTGGATCCTCTTGGGCTCAGTAACCCTCACTCTTCATTGAGGGCTGATAGATAGGAAGAAACTCACATTTGTAAGGTTTTTAACCATAGGTTCAATGGTGAATTTGCTTTTGGAGGGGTGGGTATATAGTAAAACCTTATCTATAAATAAGCACAGGGAGAAAAACATTTTTAGGATGCTTGAGTCAGCATGTTTATTCACGGCATGGTTATTTAGTTTGCGGTCTAATTACACTTTGTGACCCAAATCCCAGGATTCAGAGAAGTTTCTGTGTACTTCCCAGACCTACCTTCTCACTAAGGTCCAGGTGGGAGAGATCACAAACTGATAATGATTATTGACTTCTGCGTTCAACACCCAAATACACTGGAGTATAAGTGCAAATTTCTGACAACTGTTTAAGAAGTCTATTTTTGTCATGTTTGCATTATAGAATTTTTTTTCTCTTTTAATTCCAGTATAGTTAACTTACAGCATTATATTAGGTTCAGGTATGCAATATAGTGATTCAGTCATAATAGAATTTCTAAAGAGAAACCTCAAAACTAAAATGCCAAATTATACATAAGAGTTTGATGCTTTGGAAGAAATATTTTGAACACCATTTTTTCCACTTATTTATTTATAAGATTTTATTTATTTATTTAGAGTGTGCATGAACAGGGGTGGGACAGAGAGAGAATCTCAGGCAGACTCTGAGTAGAGCCCAACATGGGGCTTGACCTCACGACCCTGAGATCCTGACCCAAGTTGAAATCAGCAGTCGGATGCTCAACTGACTGAGCCACCCAGGTACTTTTAATCATGTTTGGTGCCAGTACTCCAAGGGTGGCTTTTAAATTAAATACAGAAAAGAATATGTTCAACATACATAGTATTTCATATTTTTGGTTGCTTTAGTAAAAACTTAAAATTTAGATCTATAGTTTTAAGTTCTTTGGTTTAGCTACCTGATTTATCTTCCTGCCTTCGATCGTGCTATCAAAGTTGCCCACTGAGCATCCTTAAGGAGCACAGACGTGATTTCCTATATCCTGAGGTTTCATCTATGTTTTTTTTTTTTTTAAGATTTTATTTATTTATTTGAGAGAGAGAATGAGATAGAGAGAGAGCGCATGAGAGGGGGGAGTGTCAGAGGGAGAAGCAGACTCCCCGCTGAGCAGGGAGCCCGATGCGGGACTCGATCCCAGGACTCCAGGATCATGACCTGAGCCGAAGGCAGTCGCCCAACCAACTGAGCCACCCAGGTGCACCTCACCTATGTTCTTAGGCTCTACTGCACACAGCAACTCTACTTACTGTAGGTTTGAAGAACACAGGCTCTGTATTCTTCCTGCTCAACGTTTACTCGTAATCGTTAACGACAGCTCTATTCTTAATTTAATAAAACGTCTGATTACTAAGAAAGACAACTTCGCTTCCAAACCATCATTACACACTAGGGAAGGGATACACTACTCCCCGTCACTGTCCCACGTCTCTGCCTCTTCACAATATAAGTCTGTGAGCTCTTCTCTCTATTCCAGTCAATACAAAAACAGATCAGACAGTTTAGAGTAGGCAATGAACGGTCTGAGATTCTCAGGAACAGTTATTTAATACCAACAGTTATTTAAAAACAGACAAACAAACCCAAAGTTACTATAACATAAGCCTGAGGGAAAATGAGGTGATTTGGGAAATAATCTATTCTCTAATGTAAATGTACCAGACGCAGGTCTTCTGCAACGCCTGGGCTTCAGCACCTCCACACTTCCTATATTTCTGTTCCTCTGATTTACCTGGAATCCATGAATCTGGGGGAGGAAAAAAAAAAAGGATTCTGTAAGGAGCTGATCAATTTTGGGTCCCCCATTAGAAAACTATCACACATCCATAGCATCAATGAGGATGAAATAAACAGGTCACTGAGGAGCACTTCTGAGTAGTATCTTGAATTTATTCTCGGTTTACTAAGGTTCAAGTTTCACGCTGAATGATTAGTTGCAAGAGTACTTGCTAACAGCATCCCTACTAATTTTCTGGTTTTAAATTTGAGAACCTCCAAAACAGAAGCCCGTCACCTCCAGCAACAATTTTTAAAATACTTAAGGCTTTTTGTTTTTTATTTTTTTTTAAAGATTTTATTTATTTATTTGATAGAGAGAGCGAGAGAGCACAAGCAGGGGGAACAGTAGAGGGAGAGGGAGAAGCAGGTTCCCCGCCAAGCAGGGAGCGGGATGTGGGGCTCGATCCCAGGACCCTGGGATCACGACCTGAGCCGAAGGCAGACGCTTAACCATCTGAGCCACCCAGGCGCCCCAAGGCTTTTTGTTTTTTAAAAGTAATTTGTAGCAGTACTTAGTGTCCAACAGAAACCACTCCATCTGTTAAACAATATCTCGACTGCAAAGCTTCTCTTACTGTTGGTCGATAGATAACGACATGGCGCAGTCATTATCACCGTGGCAACAGTAGCCGGGACTATCAGAGGAAAATTGCACATAGAACCGCTGGCTCTTGAGCAGTCATGCCTCAGCTTCCTCTAGAGTATGCTTTTTCTGCAAGTCTGGTGTGCCCCAGGGTACCATCAACCCAGCGCGGCTCCAAGACTACAGATGGATTTCACTCGAGTCCCGATCTTCCGGAACTGTTCATTCCACCAATAGGCACACCTGCCCGGTCCCCAGCACTGCTCTAGGTACTGAGGATGCAGCAGTGAGTTAATTCCAGTGCCCGGGAGGGAAATCAATAAACCAGCTCATGAATACACGTCAAGGTGCAATGTGCACAATGGAGAACAGAGAAAGCAGTGAGCCCTCCTCTGTACCTGCTTCTCAGTTCCCCCGCTGACTACCAGCTTTGGGCACCAAGTCTCTCTGGACATCCCGCGCTGGCACCGTGCCCGGCACGCAGCAGCAGCCCAGAAAACGTCTGTCCAGCGAACCAATTCCCTCTTAGCTCCCCATTCAACAAAGCTTTCCTGGGCCATAGGCCCAAAGGACTTAAGTGGGCTGCAAAGTCCACGAAGCCCCAAACCCGGAGGGGATCAAGCACACGAGAGCACCTTACACACTTTTTAAATAATAGTTATTTTGGAGAAATAATCGTGCGCTGGAGACGGGAATCTCGGGGCCGGGTGTGGGCCTCGGCTCCCACGCGGGCGGCGGGGCCGAGGGACTGCCGACACGTGGTCCTCGCCTCCACGCGGGAGCCCCGGCCGCGAGAGCCCGGCCCCGGTCCGTTCCTGCCACGAACGGCCGCTTTCGGCCGCGGCCTTACGGAGGCGCCGGGATAGCTCACCTAGGCTGGGAAAGGCCGACCCGGGCCGACTCCAGCCCCGCCGTCGCCCCTGATGCAGGAACTCTACGCCCGGCTACCGCGTCGCCACGGCAACTCAACCACCCCCCCCCCGCCCCCCCCACACACCGGAACCGGAACCGTCGCCTAGAAGTGACCCCTTCCCGGCGTTCCGCGGAACGCCGAAACCCGCCCACTGCCTTCCCCAGTCATCCGGGAGTATCCCAGCAGGCCCGTCCACCCTCCGGAGGGAAGTCGTCTTGCCCCTCGTTTCGCCTCTCCTTGCCTCGGAGCGTGACGCTGATGGACATTCATTCTCTCCAATCAACTGACAAAGCGATTGCCAGCGGCCAATAGTAATGCTGTAGGATGCGGCTCAAGTTTAAGGACTGCCTCCAATCTGTCGGGGGCCGGACGAGCCACATGATTGGTAGAATCGAGTAAGGGCGGGCTAGCGTTGTCCAATCACGGGGAGCAGTTCGGAGCCAGCCCAATGAGATCCTCCGGGGGGCGGGCCGAGCTGCCGCGGGCCCGGGGAAGGCTATGGGTGGGGGGGCGCCGAGCCGAGATCCCGGGCTGTCGAGGGGTCCGGCGGGCGTGCGGGGATGAGCGGATCCCTGAGCCGGGCAGCGGCGGCTGTGCTCCGCTGGGGGCGCGGTGCGGGCGGCGGCGGTCTGCGGGGCCCGGGCGTGCGGACGGCGGGCTCGGGCGGCGGCGGGGGCAGCTCGGGGGAGCAACTGGACGCCCTGGTGAAGAAGGACAAGGTGGTGGTCTTCCTCAAGGGGACTCCGGAGCAGCCCCTGTGCGGCTTCAGCAACGCGGTGGTGCAGATCCTGCGGCTGCACGGCGTCCGCGACTACGCGGCCTACAACGTGCTGGACGACCCCCAGCTCCGGCAAGGTCAGGGCCCTCCGGGTGGGGGGCGACGGGCCGAGGCCGCTCGGCGGGGCTGGAGTGTGCCGCGCAAGCTCTGTCTGGGGATTCGAGCGGGTCGGGGCACGGGCTACTGCACTGTATTCGGGGTGGGGTGGGGGCATGATTGACTTGAAGTGGGTCTTGAGGATCTGGGCATCTGGTACTCTTGCCAGCTTGGGCATTGGGTAAGTCCTAGCGGTTCACCGGCCCCCACGCTGAGCCGAGAGAGGCCTTTTGGGGCCAGATCGCTCAGGCTCGGTCCGAGGAGAGTGGTGGGGAAGGGGGGCCAAGAGGGATACGGTAAGAACCACTAGAAGATAGGCACTTCGGGGGAATTGGCCTGTCTCGTGGATAAGGAGCTGGTGCCGTTGATGGTAGAGGGAGGGCCGAAGTTGCGCTTGTCAGAGGCTGGTGGGGTCAGAGACTAGCCTGGTGCCTCAGGGCTGGGGGTGTCAGGAACCATCCTCTGTTGTTGCTACAAGGAGGGGGTGGACACAGCTTTTGGACTGGTCTTAGTGGGGAATCACTTGGTGTTGAAGAAAAAGATACGAACTTTGTTTTTAGATACTCGAGGACAGGGCGGGATTGGGGCGGGGGGCGGGTGGCTAGGGCTTGGAGAGGCTTGTGGGGAGAGGGATGAGGAATGACCCCTGGGCCCTAGCTAACTCAAGGGTGGAGCTCAAGGAACCTGGGGCCAATCAGGGTGTGGGGCCAGATGCAGCAGGTCCTGTGGCGTGCCCCTGGCTCGTCGGAAGGAGGGAGGGCGCTGACAGCTAATAGTACCTTTTATGCTGAGCACCATGCCAGAAACCTTCCATGCATCTCAGTGGGGGAGGAGGACAGGGCCAGTGGAGTACATGGATCTGCTCCTTGGCTAGCGTCCTTCCTTGGTCAGAGTTGGTGGAGAAATGGGGAGGCTGTGCCTGTACGCCCTAGGGGGTGGCTTAGTATCCTGCATTCCAGTTAGAGACCTCAGTGACCGAGTCCTGGCATCTCCCTGAGCCTAGTGCTATTCTTTAGTTACAGTGTTCTAAAAACGGTTTTACCAGGCACCAGATTCCCTGTTATTCTACATTTAGAATTCTACATTTTGTTATTATGTACTTAGGACTGTTCTCCAGTTGGAATGATCAGTCCTAGCCCTCCCTCCTTGACCAGACAGGCTGGTGTGGTGGAAAGGCTTGGGAAGCTGGAATCTGGCTGCAGCCAATCAACTGTGCAACCTTAAGTCGCATTACTGCATTTTCCTTTTCGGTAATAGGAAATAAGGAAATAAGGAAAATAAGGAAACCAAACTTGACAAAGGTTTTATGAGGAAAAAATAGAGAAAGTAAAACTTTTTAGAAAGTCCCATCATTTCATCTGGAACACAGAAGGCACCCACTCAATGGGAGCCTTTTTATCATTTGGACTCTATGGTTCTCAGAGTTAGTATTTTTTTCCCCAGATTAATCCCTGGGAAACTCTTGGGTTTTGGTGGGTGGAAACTAGGAGGAGGGAAGGCAGGTTAACATTACCAGCTCTGTGTGATATTGCCCTGTATTAGGCTCCTGATCCTTGTTTGTTGTTTTCCTGGTAGAGTGCCACTAGGCACCAGGTATCTAGAGTGTCGCTAGGCCCTGGGGTGTTTTTTATGTACAAGGCGGGGGGGGGGGGGGGGGGGGGTGGCGCGGGGGCTGCAGTCTTCACCCAGCAGCAGGCTGCTCTGCTTCAAAGATAAGATAGGGGAAACTACTCTGCAATCTTTCAGCACGGACCTTGCCACAGGTCCCCTGCAAATGGCTAGTAGGACTGTTAATAAAAAGTCGCATCCTTGACAGCTTGCTTAGTATAAGGTTTTGAGGGTCTTTGGTTTGTGGTTTCTGTTCTGTTTATTTTTATTTTTAAATTTTTTTAAGATTGATTTATTTATTTTAGAGAGAGAGCAAGCACAGAGGAGAGGGGTGGGAGGAAGAGAAATTAGGACCTGAACATACCTTCTTAGGGGACACAGTTCAACTCACAACACCAGTCCTTTCTTCTTTTTTAAAGATTTATTTATTATTTATTTGAGAGGGAGAGAGAGAGAGCGAGCAGTGGGGAGGGGGCAGAGAGAGAAGGAGAGAGAGAATTCTCAAGTAGACTCCCACCAAGTGAGGAGCCTGACTCAGGGCTTGATCCTACAACCCTGAGATCATGACCTGAGCAACTGGTCAACTGACTGAGCCACCCAGGCACCCCATGTTCTCCCGCTTAACACAACTGGACATGGGGTATACTGGAATATAAGAAGAAAGTAGGAGCAGAAATAAGAAGGTTTACGCATAGCACTTAGGTTCCTGTCTTGCGTGTCATGCGTCTGGTTTCCAGTCTCACGTTCAGGTGTTTAAGCAACAGCAGCAGGAATTTAGCCCTTAAATTTCTTGAGCGTTGAGTTTCATCATTTTCATTCCCAGTTTGTTTCATACCAGATTATTATCTTGGTCAATAAATATATTGCATATATATTGGACATAACACACACCTCTTTGGTGGCTTACAAAAATAAACGTGCATGCAAGTATTAACCTTCAGACTGGGGCAGGGTGGTGTGAGCACGTTCCCAGAGTGGGGATTAGTTTAGTTAGGGTAAAACTTTATAAAAACATGACGACTCTTCATCTCTGCTCTCTGCACCCTTGAGTTTTACCGAGAGAAGCTGATAGGCTGTCCGATGCTTGCTTTTGCTATAGCCACAGATACATCTGTGCACCTTTCCTAGACCCAAGGTCACTGCCGGTAACTGGAGAGGGGCTCCTGCAAAATTGCCTTTTCCTTTATTCTTGTGTCAGAGCTTTACAAAGGGCCTGAAGCCTGAGGACATGTGATGCAGAGAGGTCTCAGCCTGTGACCCAGGGAACAAAGATGACTGTGAGGTCTTTCTCAGGTCTTTTCTTTTTCCTGTTGATCTGGAAGACACACAGAAGGTGCCACTGGGTCCCAGTAGACAGATGTCAGCATATCGTAATCCTGGTCTAACAAAGAATCTCTTTCAGTTTTCTGTTGTAAACATAACACGCTCATTGAAGAATCTTGGAAACGCTGAAGGTAATAAAGAAAAGGGAAATTACCTGTAATTCCATATCCACCATTATTAACATTTGGATCTAGCTTCTAATCGTTTTTTTTTTAAAAAAACGCATTTGAGATCATGCGTGTCTGGGCATAGTATTTTCCCTCCCGAGAGCAGGGAACATGTCTTATGCCACTGCCTAAGTACCCTGTATATTGCTTATGCAGAGCAAGCTTTCCATGATTTTTTTTTTAAAGATTTTGAGAGAGCGAGCGAGTGCGCATGTGCACACGAGTGGGGGGAGGGGCAGAGGGAGAGAGAATCCTAAGCAGGCTCCTCACCCAGTGCAGAGCCTGACACGGGGCTCAATCCCAGGACCCTGAGATCATGACCTGAGCTGAAACCAAGAGTCAGACACTTAACCGGTCGGACGCTTAACTGACTGATCCATCCAGGGGCCCCTCAATGATTGTTATAATGAATAAGTAAATACTATTATTTATCATATCATAAACTCTGTCCCATGCTCTTTTTTTTTTTTTAAAGATTTTATTTATTTATTTGACAGAGAGACAGCGAGAGAGGGAACACAAGCAGGGGGAGCGGGAGAGGGAGAAGCAGGCTTCCTGCCGAGCAGGGAGCCCGATGCGGGGCTCGATCCCAGGACCCTGGGATCATGACCTGAGCCGAAGTCATTCACCTAATCAACTGAGCCACCCAGGCGCCCCTGTTCCATGCTCTTAAAAACACAAATACTGTTAAATTTCTGCCTGTTCAGATCACCATTGTATTCCTTGCATTAAAAGCAGTGTCTGTTGAACGAATAGCCATTATCCTGTTGTTGAATGTTTATTAAGCATTTGAAAATATGCTCGGCCTTTTCAGTATCAGGGAGTTTAAGGCAACAGAAACAAATCTATGACACTGGCAAATGTTAGAAGTCAGATTAACAAGTGGTGTTTCTGGGCTTGTTACATGCTGCAGATGAGAGTATAAAAGGGTACCAACGCTTTGGAGGAGTAACTGTCAGTACCGGGTCAAGTTGACGGTGAATGTAACTGAAGACCCAGCTGCTTTACTTCTGCGTATACGGTCTAGAGTGGGGGTTGGCAGACTTCCTTTGTCAAAGGCCAGCAGTCTGTGTGGATTCCACTCTGTTGTTGTGGCGTGAAAGTAGTCAGAATGTAGGTAAACGGATGGGTGTGGCCGAGTCCCAATAAAACTTTATTTACAAAAACCGGAAGTGGACCACATATGGCCCAAAGGCCATAGTTTGCCACCCCTTTCTCTAGAGAGGAAGACCCCCTGCATTTGAGTTAGAAGACAGATAAAAGGGTATTCGTGGACGCGTTGCTTGTAATATTGAAAAATTGGCAAGAGAGGATCTTGGTCTATTAGCAGACTGGATAAACAAACTGTAGTGTAGTCACGTGGTGGAAAATGAAGTTGTGGCCAAAACGGAACTAGATCTAGATGGATTCCATATGACCATGTCTCAAAGAATACAATGTTTAGTCATGAAATAAGTTGCAGAAAAGGTAACTATGGCACAATGCCATTTGTGTTAAAGGTGTGAAACAGCCCCACGTGTTGTGGATACACATGCAGTGCGAGTGTAGTTCATGGGCAGGGGTGACATGCCAGCCACAAGCCAGAGGCCACCTCTGCCAGTTTAGAACCTGGCCTTCGGACTCCCAGAAACCTGGATGGAAATCCAGGCTCCACCATTTGCCCGCACTGTTGACCTTGGTCAAATACCCTCCCTGAGCGTTGGTTTCTTCATCTGTAAAATAGAGATAATTATGCACTCCCTGTAGGATTTTTGCAAAGGTTAAGTGAGGTTATGTATGTAAAATACTTAAAGAGTATGAAATTCAATAACCCTTAGCTCAGCAAATGAGTATTTTCATGCTGCACGGCATACATGATGGGTATTTTTCCTTTATTCTCCATTGCGTGTATTTCTCAGAGAAGCATGACTGAAGGGTGGTTTAGGGGACATCGTGGTGGAGAGAATATCCACCTTGTACCTGGAACTGTGGGAGTTTAATCCCTTCACTCATTTCATCTTCATATTAAATCCATGAGGTGTATAGTTACTCTCACTTCAAGGGTAGGGAAACTGAGGCTAAGAAATTAGCAGGTATCTGATGCTGCATTTTCAAGCTGGCAAGCCACAGCCGGCTGACCCTAAGCCCGTGCTCTGTTCACTTTGTCACTGGCCCCTTCCCTTGCTCTCAGCTCCGATGATCTCCTGTGGTACTGACGTCATTCTCTGTGCTAGGAAGCTAGAGGAGGGGAAGTGACTTGCCCAAGGCAGAATTAATCTGCATCAGAATGGGAAGCTCCTCCTGTGGTGAAAATCTACCAAGAAAAAAGAAAACTATAATTATGGTGCTCCTATAATTTGTTGTCCAAACTGGGAACAAAATCTAATGATGAATTTTAAAAAGTCCCTTTTGAAAGTTTTGGAAGGGAACTTTCTAATACCTCCCCCCTTCTGGTTTGATGCTTTGGAATATTCATTTTTTTTGGTGGGGCAGTTGGTATCTGTAGAACAGATTTTATAAGACCGCCTCCTTTCTTACTCCCAATTCCTCGTGTCACCCTGTTATATAACGTAGCAGTCAGTATTTTTTGTTCCAAATTGAATCATTGTCATCTGTAAAATATGATTACCATTAAAATCCATTTTTGGATATGATTTCCTAATTTTTAAGAGTTTCTCTCTCTGATTCTGAATTATTCGGAGTGAAATTTGTAAGAACTACTGCTGTATGTTGCAGTTTTTGAAAATTAAAAAGTGAGAGAAATTAGCCGTATCTAAACAATTATATGTGAATTGACAGCATTCATTCATTTTCATTTTCAACTTATGAACAGTGGTCTTTTATTATTGGAAGTTACTTGCTTCGTGCTGTAGGAATCACTTGGCTATGTCTTTAAATATTTAAACCTGTCATTGGACTTTTAAAAAAGGGAAACCAGTATTTTTTTTGACGAGGCCAAAGCTCTTTGCCTTGATAGCAGCTGCTTGTGACGCTTGTTACCCTAAAACCAAAGAAGCAGGTAAGTTTAACTTTGATAAACTTATCAGCCAGTAGGCACCATGGCCACTGTCACAATGCCATCATGGGCTTTGAGGCCAGTTCTCCTGAGTTCTTGAAGTTACTCGGCAAGAGAGCCTGGCCCCAGGGTCTGGAATGAGTCTGTCTCCCTTGCTTGTGCCTATATGTGTCAGATGTTCAGGATGGTTGAAAGCCCACTTGTTTGGTAGTTTTAATGGTAACAGTGGGTCCTGGCGGCACATAGCGTCTTCCCTCCAGTCTAGACGTGTGACCTGTAGCAAGGTGAAGCCTAATGAACGAGACAAGTCTGAAGCTTTGACTGAGTGTGGTGCCGTAAACATGTTTGACAAGAGCAGCGTATTCTTCTCTACTTTGCAAAGATTTTATTTAAAAAAACTACTTTGTAGGATTGGATGTGTGTCGTTTGGGGTGAACCTCAGATGGCAAATTTATTTTCATATTTGGTGTGTTTCAAAAATTGGAGGCACTCACTGAAAGAATCCATAGATATTCGTTGTCTTGGAAGGCTTAACGCAATGTGTTACTAATTGAAAAAGACCCGGATATAAAACTGTGCACATAAATGGTTCATGCACACAATATGGAAGATATTTGAGAAAGTTTCAAAGTATTAAAAGAAATTCATATTTACTTTAAACATGTCTTAATTCCCACCCCCACTCTCAGTCAAAAAGATTTATAACTGGCTTTGTTGTGGAATAAGTTCTGATAAACTTATTTGAGGATAGAGCTTTTAAATATATATTTATATATAAAACTTATATGCTGAGTCATCTGTGTAACACCAAATATCAGAATTCAGGATGAAAAACTTGCATTCATCAAGATATTCTAATATATCTAGATATTTGGTACTATAAAGACATTCTGATGGTTAATGGAATTTTCCCTTTATTGGTAACCCCCATACCTCTAGCTGATTTTTCTTTTTTTAAGACATCCAAAGTGGCTTAGAAGTGTGCTTTTCTGGGGATGTCATGCACAGCATGGTGACTATAGTTAATAATAGTGTATTGCGTATTTGAAAGTTTTTAAGAAAATAGATCTCAAAAGTTCTCATCACAAGAAGAAACCTTTGTCACTGCATATGGTGAGGGATGGTAACTAGACTTACGGTAGTGATCATTTTGTAATATATACAAATATCAAATCATTATGTTACAGACCTGGAATAATATGTCATATGTCAATTACACCTCAAAAAAAAAAAAAAGTATGCTTTTTGTGGCCTACGATATTATAACCCTTTCTCCATGGGGGAAGTCTGGAGGAGAAAGATAAAACCCTCCGTTGGGGGGGGGGGCCTTCTCTAGTGTTCTGGTTTAGAACAAAGTCATTATTTTTTTAGAAGGTAGTGATTTTTAAAAGAGAAAAACACATTGCATCTTAGGACTTGTGATTGAGTCCTATGAGGCATTGGTGATTTTATTTGGAAAATAAATGTTTGATAATTAAGTGATAGGATATCAAGGACCAGTTTTTGTAGTTTTAGTTTGTTTACATGAAAACCACCACTGAGCCATTTTTAATTTGTATAGTATTGTATTTTGTTTGAAGAATCTGTTGACTTTTCTGTTTTATTTTGTCTGCTTATTTTGGCCACTTAAAAATACCTTCCTCTCTATAGAAGTATAAAAATAGCAACTATGATCTATAGTGATTAATTCTCATATGTCATGATTTTGATCATCCTCTGTTTTTAATAGGACCAACACAGATGTTTTATGGATGGATATATTTTTAAAAGTGTCTCTCATCTGTAGAAAGGAGGTGGAATGGTGTGGAAGAACGTGAGGAAAGAGTAATCTTTTGTCCTAAGATTGAAACCACATCTTCTTCCTACTGTTTTGTTAAGACCATCAGCCCCATGGTCCAGAACTGAACAGAACAATCGTGTGGCTGCCCTGTCCTAGGAGGCGCCTCATCTCTGTGTGTCCTCAGAACGATTCACACACAGGACCAATCACATGCATGCTGGTTGGCTGCTGTGAGCTCTTGAGAACAGGGAGGGGGTCTCTCTCAGCCTGTGGCCCTGCACCTGGCCCAGGACATGGGCCTTAACTGAGCTTCGGGCCTTTCCTTGCTTTGACTCAGTCACTGCAAGTTCTGTGCTGAGCCAAATCAGCCTGCCCCATGGAGAGCCCACCCATGGGGCTGAATAGGGTAAGGGCTGCAGTCTGCCATAGGAAAGAGATTGTTCTCTGGGTAAAAGGATTATTAAAAATAAAACCCAGTGACTCAACATCTTGGTGCTGTTCACCAACCCAGCCAGGCACAAAAAGCCTGAGGTGAGGCCTGCCGCATCTGGCAGACGTACCGTGATGGCGACCCACGTTAAGTAGTCCATTTGAAAATGAAGTCTTAGCATTTGAGTTTTGTTTTACGGAATCCATGTCTGGCAGATGAAGGGAGACTATGGCTTTGTACATCTGGCGTGACTTACTTCCACCAGTCGGGTTCTCCGCCATCAGTCCCTGTTGACGGTCTGTCAGCTGTCGCTGCAGAGCCTCACCTCCCCGATACGCATGAGAACTTGGGAGATGGGGGTGGAAACAGGCGGGCAGTTGAGTGACTTGTGGGAGGCCTCACAGTTAGTAATCGGAAAAGGTAGCGTTTACACAGTGATCCAGTTGACTCTAAAGCCCCTGCTCTGTGGCAGACCCGTGGTTCCCCAAGGATGGGGGGATGCAGGGGAGGGACACTGGGTGTTGTGCTAGGAGTGGGTAGAAAAGATTTTGTCATGAAAAGTTCAGCTCTGAGCATTTAAATGACACCTAAATGTTCTTTCCCTGCAGGCATTAAAGACTATTCCAACTGGCCCACCATCCCGCAGGTGTACCTCAACGGCGAGTTCGTGGGGGGCTGTGACATTCTGCTGCAGATGCACCAGAATGGGGACCTGGTGGAGGAACTGAAAAAGCTGGGGATCCGCTCGGCCCTTTTGGATGAAAAGAAAGACCAAGACTCAAAGTGAGGGCGGCCCGGGGCCTCCCCGGGTAGTAGGGGGCTGTCGGTGCCGAGCCTCGGTGCCGAGCCCCGCTGCCAGCAAAGCCGTACTGATTCTGATTTTCGCTCCTCACACGGCAGCTGCTTGCACCGATCCCTCCCGTTTGTAAGCAGTTGGGTGATTGTAGTGTGTCTGGGGTTTGGGCTGCGAATATTCGATTGTGAACTTAATTATAACCACTGCACTGTAATAATTCAACGTTGTATTATGATATTGTTATAAACAAAATCTGTTCTTATATTGTCATTTGCTCTTTGCCTGATTCAGGAGTAAAACCAGGAGCTTTTGAATCATCGTTACTCATGAATCCTCTGCAAATATGTCAGTCGGCAAAGATAATATATCCCCCCCACGCCCCCACCCCTGATTTGTCATAGCTGCTTCTGTTAAGAAAAATGATGGCCGAGGAAGAAGATGTGGGAACTGGGGCATTGTTTTTTACAATAAACGGCCAACCCAGGAATACCGTGCGTGAGTGGTTAGTTCTGAATGGCGGAAAGCCTGTACCTCAGTCTACTCGGGGTGCTGTCACAGAATACCACAGACTGGCCCGCTTCTAAATCACACGTGTTCATTTCTTGAAGTTCTGGAAGCTGGAAGTCCAAGCTCAAGGCTCCAGCAGATTAGGTCTCTGGTGAGGGCTGTGCCTGCCTGGTTCATAGGCAGCCTCTTCTCCCTGTGTCCTCACGAGGAAGCTGTATGGGCTCGCTCTTGGAAGGGCACAAATCCCACTCATGAGGACCCTACCCTCCTCATCTACTCGCCTCCCAAAGGCCCCCACCCCCACCCCCCAAACCACCACTCTGGGGGTTAGGTGTCAACATGGGAATGTTGAGAGGACACAGACCTTCAGTCTGTAGCAGTCTAAGGATGTTTAGTGCCTGTGACCTTCTCTTTTTGGAAATTAAGAGTGATTCTCATACTCTTCAGTTAAATTTGACATAGAAATTGCTATCAACCTATGGTCTAATTTCTCGAGGGGAGGTAAGTGTTGCAAACGCTGAGTGGTGTTAACGGTGCAGTTGGAGGCCTGGGTGTCGTGCCCAGAAGTGAGGTGGCTGAGGCTAGGGGAGGCAGCCCTGCTCACCCACCTCGGGAATCTGCTGCTCGGCAAATTGCACTGCCATCAGCTAGGGAGAAGTCACTGGCAGGCCTCCAAAGAAAGGAATCCACTCAGCATTTTCTTTCTTAAAAAATACAGTCTTTACATGATACTGTGTAGTGAAAACCCTAAAGATACCACCAAAAAACTACTAGAACTGATAAAGGAATTCAGTAAGGTTGCAGGATACAAAATCCGTTAATTTCTAGCCGCAGAAAAAGAAGTTAAGAAAACCATCCCATTTACACTTGCACCAAAAATAATAAAGTACCTAGGAGTAACACTTAAGCAGGTAGGTGAAAGATTTGTATTCTGAAAACTCTAAGACATGGCTGAAAGAAATTGAAGACACCACAAACAAATGGAAAGACATCCCATGCTTATGTGTTGGAAGAAGAAATTGTTGAAATGCCCATGCTACCCAAAGCAATCTATAGATTTAATGCAATCCCTATCAAAGTACCTATAGCATTTTTCAGAGAATTAGAACAAACAATCCTAAAAAGTTGTATGGAACCACAGAAGACCCCAAATAGCCAAAGCAATCTTGGGGAAAAAAAAAAAAAAGTATTACAATTCCAGATTTCAAGTTGTATCACAAAGCTGTAGTAATCAACAATATGGTGCTGGCATAAAAATAGCCTCATAGATCAATGAAACAGAATAGAAAAGCCAGAAATAAGCCTATGATGATATGGTCAATCTTCAAGAAAACAGGAAAGAATATGCAATGGGAAAAAGTCTCTTCAACAAATAGTGTTGGGAAAGCTGGACAGCTACATGCAGAAAAATGAAATTGGACCACTTCTTGTCATCATACACAAAAACTCAAAATGGATTAAGTATCTGAATATGAGACCTGAAACCATAAAAATCCTAGAAGAGAGCACAGGTAATAATTTCTCTGACATTGGCCTTAGCAATATCTTTCTAGATATGTCTCCTGAGGCAAGGGAAATAAAAGCAAAAATAAACTTGGGACTACATCAGATTCTGCACAGCAAAGGAAACAAAACTAAAAGGCAACTTCCTGAATGGGAGGAGAAGATATTTGCAAATGACGTGTCTGATAAAGGGTTAGTATTCAAAATACATAAAAGAACTGCTACAACTCAACACCCAAAAAACAATCCGATTAAAAAGTGGGTAGAAGACATGAACAGACATGTTTCCAAAGAAGACATCCAGATGACCAATAGACACATGGAAAGATGCCCAACATCACTCAACATCATGGAAATGCAAATCAAAACTACAATGATCCATCACCTCACATCTGTCAGAATGGCTAAAATCAACAACACAAGAAAGAACAAATGTTGGTGAGGATGTGTAAAAAAAAAAAAAGGAACCCTCTTGCACTGTTGGTGGGAATACAAACTGGTGCGCCAACTGTGGAAAACAGTATGGAGGTTCCTCTAGTTAAAAGATAGAACTACCCTATGATAATAATACCACTGGGTATTTACCCAAAGTATACAAAAACACTAATTTGAAAGTATATGTACCTCTCTGTTTATGGCAGCATTATTTCCGAAAGCCAAACTATGGAAGCAGCCTGAGTGTCCTTTGATAGATGAATGGATAAAGAAGTGGTATATATATACAATGGAGTATTAGTCTTGAAAAAGAATGAAATCTTGCCATTTACAACGTGGATGACTCTAGAGAGTATAAGGCTAAGTGAAATAAGAGAAAGACAAATACCATATGATCTCATTAATATGTGGAACTTGAGACAAATACAATATGATCTCACTAATATGTAGAATTTAAGAAACAAAGTGGGGTAGGGGGGCACGGAATGCCTGGGTGCCTCAGTCGTTTAATCATCTGCCTTTGGCTCAGGTCATGGTCCCAGGGTCCTGGGATCCAGTCCCATGTCGGGCTCCTTGCTTAGCAGGGAACCTGCTTCTCCCTCTGCCTGCTACTCCCCCTGCTTGTGAGCACACACTCTCCCTCTCTCTGACAAATAAATAAAGTCTTTAAACAGATTCAAGTTCCTATGATCTAAAAAACAAGCATACAAAACTCCATGTCCTCTCTTTAAAAAAAAAAAAAGGCCGTGGGGGGGCGGGGCGCTGTGGGGAGACAAACCGGAAGGACCACACAGCAAACCAGACTGAACTAGAGAGAACAAACAGATGGTTGCCAGAGAGGAGGAGGGTGGGCAATGGGTGAAATAGGTGAAGGAGATAAGAGCACACTTCTTGAGGAGCACTGAGTAGTCTATGGAAGTGCTGAATCACTATATTGTACACCCGAAACTAATACAACACTGTTAACTATACTGGAATTTAAAAAAAAAAAAAAGATTTGGCACATGAAAATAATAAGGTCTTTACAAAAGGAATAACTGGAATCACAGCAGATACTCTTCCAGTATGCAGTATCTTTGTGTTTTTTCTTAAATTAAGATTTATTTATTTATTAGAGCATGAGCAGCGGGAGGAGGAGGGAGGGCTGTGGCTGAGAAGCAGACTCGAAGCAGAGCATGGAGCCCAACGCGCCGACTCGGGGCCCAGTCTCACAACCCTGAGATCACGACCTGAGCCGAAATCAACAGTCGGTCACTTAACCGCTGGAGCCACCCAGGGGCCCCTACGGTATCTTTTTACATGACTCAGCGTTTGTCCTTCCTGCGGAGGCGGAGCTGGAGGTGAGCTTTACAGTGGCTCCTGGGCAGAAAGCCTGACCTGTCACCAGGTGCTTTTGGATCCCCAGAGGCCTTCATTCATCTCCGGGACCTGAAGCAGGACGTCTGTTGGAATTGCATCTTCCCAGTAGCAGATGCAGGAGGAAGAATGCAGTTTTTCATGAGCAGACCAGGAGTGGCAAGGAAGGAGGGAGGGCTCATTCCCCAGAGCTGTTCTAGAGGCTTGTTCTGTGTACTCAGTCAGCTTGAGTGCCTCTTGAAGAAGCTCTGAAAACAGACTGACATAGGTAGGACTGACCTGGGTTCCTGCCACCATCCCTCCCCCAGAGGTGTTGGGATCCAGAAGAAAGGACAGTGGGAAGCCCACCCCCGATTTACTGGAGACCGCCCCGTCTGGTTAGAGGACTGCTCCTAGCCCGCCACAGAGCCCAGGGCTCCAGGGAAAGAAAAGCAGATTGTTCTCACAAGAATGTTTTTTATGGCCTGAATTCAGCCCTGCATCCCATCAATACCTTGGTGTCAGCTCTAAATTAAGAGTTTCCGTAGACCCCCAGATGAGGCTGGGGCTCTGACAAGTGACCTTGTTTTGCAAATGGAAGTGTGGCCACTAGAAGGAAGGCTCAAGGTCTCCCCTGAGCTGCGGTAAGGAGGCGAAGGGCCAAGGTTGTGACCTTAGCCTTTGGAGAGAATATCATTGACAAATCACACGGTTGCTGGTTGAGCACCAGGCGTGGGGCACACACAGGACTGCACAACTCTTCTTCACCTTCATTTCTGACGTGTAGTCAGTACTTTAACATAATTTTGCCCTTTTTTTGGCTTTTCCTTAGATATGCCTACATGCCCTTAGGGTTCATCTGAAAAATGAAATGACGAGAAGATCATCAGGGAAACATCAGTGTAAGAAACCTGCCCGGAATAGTAGGACTAGGGGAGGGCTGCCGACTGAAGAATCTCACTCAGACGCTCATGAATCACGGTGACATCCTGTCCGTCGCCAGAGCTTCAATGTTTAAGGAATCACTGAGCTCTACAGAAACAGAAATGTTCTTTCCAGGAGTTAATACCTTTTTCCCCCTATATGCTTAAGGAGTCTTTACCAAGTGGAAAATTGAAGATGCTATCTTCTGTCAGTCTGAATAATTGTGATGATCTGCATAATTAGAATTCACTGTGATAATTAGAACAATGACACCAAAGTTCCTCCTATGAACAGCGGTATCACACGCTATCTATTTTAAAATGCAAGGTCCGCTTCACAGCATTTCAGCACAGCACGTTTGGCTTGTATCATTGTGATTTATTAGCTTATTGTCACAGCTCCAAAATACTGTGTTAATAGACCCTTTAGAAATAGCGGAAGTTATTCTAGAAGCTTAAACGTTTGCATGATTTCAGGCAGTTTTTGTTTCCTGAGTTGGTAGTTATACACGTCATTGCAGTTCATTTAAGCAATGAGTGTTGGAGATACTTTGGGACAGAAGGTAAATTTTAAGAAGTCTCTGGGGCTTGGGGCGCCTGCCTTGGCTCAGTTGACTGAGCCTCTGACTCTTGATTTCAGCTCAGGTCATCTCAGGGTGGTGAGATTGAGCCCCAAGTTGGGCTCTGCACAGGGCGTGGAGCCTGCTGGGGATTCTCTCTCTTCCTCTCCCTCTGCCCTCCCCACTACCCCACTCTCTCTCTCTCTTTCAAACAAACAAAACGA